AGGCTGCCCAGGGAAGTGGTTGAGTCACCATCCCTGGAGGTATTTAAAAGACATGTAGATGAGGCGCTTAGGGACATGGTTTAGTGGTAGACTTGGCAGTGTTAGTTTAATGGTTGGCCCTGATGATCTTAAAGGTCTTTTCCAACCTAAATGATTCTATGATTCTATGAGCAGATGATGCAACTCAATTAAGAGACGGCAAATTACTTGAGGATATTTTTCTGGAAACAGTTTTATTAAAAAAAAAAACCACAAAAAACCCCAACTAAAAATAGAAAACTGTGGTTTATCAAAGCAACAATAAACGAATGGAAACTTCTGTCCAAACTTTCTGCCGCAACCTGATAGTTACCTAATAGTTAAACACATGGAATCTGGGATGCAAGTTTTAATTTATCACTCAAGTGTAGTCAGAAAACTGTATTGCATGTCCTTAAGGAGCACCCCAATTGCCATGTTACAGAATATTCTATGACATTTGATAATGAGTCTTTTAGTAGCTCTTGTTGGAATTGTTTCAAGTTGAATAAGCTAATTCTTGACTAAAGTAATTCTTTGTATAGCGGAGATTCTTTGTCTCACTGTGGAGCACAATGTCAGCTTCACAGGGACTCCTGGTTTTGGTCCTGTGCTATGGATAATAAGTGTTAACATGTTCAAATTGGCATACTTACTCCAGAATAGTCTTGCTATTTATGGGAATTGAATGGAAGAATAGGGGATCAAGACCTTGACAGCCTCCCTGTGACTGTATTTACTGTGTGAAGATTGTCTCCAAAGCGTATATTAGAATATCAGTTTGTTTCTTTTTAGGAAAACTTGAAAGTTTGTCAAAATAGATGTAATGCAGTAGAAGTAAATTGTAAGTTTTTTGAATTGCACTTATACGTAGCGGAGTACCTTGATTTGCTTTTCCTACATTTTTGGCATTTAAATGTTTCTGGTGAAAACATGTACTCTGTTTAAAAGGCTACTTTAAAATTAAAACACTGTGCTTAAGCAAATAGAAAAGAATGAATTTGCTACACTGTTTATGCACAGTTTTCTCTAGAAGCAGCAGCTTTGAGAAGATGTTTGTGTGATTTGGGAGCTATATATATCAGTAGTATATCAGAATCTGTGGCATAAGTTGTTGAGCTTGAGCTCATAAATAAAAATAATGCAAAGAATGTCTTATTTGGAACATATGACTTTTGTTCCATTTCTTAGCTATTTTTGTGACTCAAAAATCTGTGCAAGTACAATTAACCTCATTTAGAAAAATAATGGAATAATTTATCAAGACAGAAGTTTCTTTTTAAAATAATGCAGTTGATAGTTCTTATAAGTCTAGATGGATGTACTTAGATAAACCCCAAATTCTAACAGTTGATAATTATTCATTTGCTTGTGGCTGTGGCTATGTTAAAAATTAAGTATTTTAATTAACAATGTGTTAGCTTTTGCCAAGATAAATTTGAATTATGAACTTGAACGTGCATAAAGTATATGATTTAATGAATTTAGGATTTGAAATTGATCAAATAAGCTGATGGCGTTAGAAATTTTTGTGCTACTTGTGTACCTGAAATTGAATCTCATAGAGATTAGTCCAGCTTCAGTTATGTGAAGAAACAGCAGAGACAGGCTCAAGTTCCAGTCTTTGTCGCTCCTTGTTTGGTCATTTTTTGAAGTAAAGGAAACACTATGATTGCCATAATTAACAGAATATTGCAACTAAAAGGTCTCGATCCTTTTACAATTTCTTAATTGTGGCCAAACTGCAAGGCTGAACATTTTGGGTTTCCTAAAAACCTTTCAAGTCACCAAATGAAATAGTACTAAAAGAGTAAATGAAGAAAAGTTTCTTGGTAGTAAGCTTTGGTTTCAATACTTTGAAATGGTGTGTTAGATGTTATTTTCCAATTCTATTTCTGAGACACACATATCCCATTTCTTCCCTTCATGATTCTTTTGTCAGTTTACGAGGTACTGAATGGACAAAATTCAAGAATCACAGCCATTTAAAGGAGTGACTTCTTGGAACTGAGTGTTATGCAAAGAAGAAAGATAATATATTGATTTCTGTGGAACAGAAAATCATAGAAAAAGAGAATGAATTTGTCTTTTCTTTGTTACAGCTTCTGTTGATTTATGCTCTGCTGTATTCTCAGTTTTAAAAATGAAACTCTTTTTATTTAACCCATACTGAATTGCATCCTGAGCTTACTTGGCAACCGTACTGCAACAAATCACTTAAAAGTATATGAAAAGTTTCTCAGGAATCAGTCTGAAAGATTAAAAAAAAAATTGTGTGTGTTTATGTATACATCTATACATACATACATATATATATTTGCAATCAAACCTTAATTACTGTCTAGATTTAGTTTTAAAATATCTTTACCTTATATTATAGATATTGCTCAGTATTTGAAATGATATTTAAAATCCTTTCTAAAAACAAACAAGAAACATTTCATTTTTAAGACAATGGAATAATACAAACATTCTGATGTCTAAAAATGGATAGTTGTATTTACTGCTTGCCCATTTTAGTTGTATAGTGATGAAATTGCAGATAAGCGATGTAATCATAAGCTCCATTACTTATTACTTAGCATGTGAGACTGCCCTTGACCTGAACCTTAAAGCATAAACGTGGACCTCCTTACTTAGATAAAAATCCTGGTGACTTTACTGGAATAAGAATTTCAAGGTATAAAATGTCAAAAGAGCTACGTACTGAACGTTTATCTGTAAATCAATTAAGTTATTACACTTAACCTACTTTCAGTCTTTTCCATTACATTTTCCCCAAAACATCTTTTTGCTCTGCTGTTCTCTCTGAGCCCAGAAAATGGTAAACCATTCTGTGGAGACAATGCTCTCTGCTCTGCAAGGGAATTTCCACCTAACTATTAAGTTATCTACAGATGTGGTTTATCGTGAAGAATGAAAGTTAAATGGAAAATTAAGTATTCAGAGTAGCTTTAGACATTCTGTGCATCATTTTTCCACTTAATACCTCAAAGTGTGTTTTGTGAAGTGTGACATTGTGATTCATATTTTAAATGTAATGACAGAGAATAATGGAACAGGGTTTAATAATAAATATTAGCAAGCTTATTTTTTTTTCCTGTAGTAATCTGTTTTTACTTATAGTATTCTTTTCTAGATGCTGAAATATAACTAATGGACAATTTACACAGTAATTTACTGTTTTATAGGTTGGAACTTGGGATCCATTGAGTGGCCTTAACATGACAGAGAATCAGAAAGGAAAACCAGCAAACATCACAGATTCCCTGTCGAATCGCTCTTTAATCGTTACCACCATCTTGGTAAGCAATTATGTTTGCATTTCCAGAAATACAGTTGTACAGGAAAGCTAATAGAATATGCTATGCTAATTACAACAGTAATGAACAGTCTGTAGTATATGTTACAGTTACTTAGAAATTACTCTGTCATGAATGAACTCCAGTTGTTAAGGTAGTCATGGATATTTACTCTCATCTAAATTGTAAGTAAATTATCCCAATTTTAGAGTTATGCCAGTTGATTAGTAATTTCACTTTCCTTATTATTGACTAAAATGTTTGGTTCCTTCACAAAGCTGTTTAGTTCAGCACCATATGAGAGGACAAAAGGTGTTTAAAGAAGTGGTTTGGCTATTAGCCTGATGATATTAGCTAGCAAAATTTATTGCTTTCATTTGCTAATCTAACACCGTGATACTACCTCTAAGGAAAGTACGAAATATTTAACATTTATTTTCATCATTGTTATTACTTGATTGTTAAGTTGAAATTTTTAATCATACAGAAATTTAATTGAGCTATCATTTGAACTAGATCAGAAGTAACTTCTTTTTCATTGCCATTGTTGACAAATTCACAATGGTAGATAAGGTATTTTTTACTTAAAATTACATATATTTATTTATGTAAAAATAAATGTTCACTAATTTCCACACCATAATTTTGAAACAGTAATTTTAATTTCAACACAAATGAAAAACTTTCCAGAAGTGTGTCTGCTGTGTTTGTCTGCTGCCACCATTATCGTGAATTTGCAGATGTCAAAAAAATAATCCACTTCCCAACAGTTTTATTCTTTAATAAGAAGCTTTTACCTACCAACATATATTTTGACATTTCAAGCTAGAATGAATTTTCATAGGTACATAGATACAAATGCCAGTGTGCTTCTAACCTTTTATGTAACATAAGCCATAGAACTTCATCCAGTGAGTAACTTTCTGGTTACTTATAAGGTCTGTTTATATTTGAAGATTTACAAATTATAGAAAAACTTCTGAAATCCTTTGTTCCATTTATTCCCCTAATTTAAAAATACATACCTGATATATAATTGGAACATGGCTGACTCACTTTCAGATGTAAGTTCTTGTTATGCTAAGACCAGCACAATTTTATGACAACTTTCTCTTGTACCATTAATTAGAGTTTATAAACATATAATCTCTTGGGTTTCTTTTTTATAAAATGTAAATGAACCTCATATAATCTCTTAAAGTAAAAGCATGTTTCCTAGAGTATTAGTCTGTCTTTTTTCTTCCCACTGCCCTTCTCAAGTTTTTAGATTTTGTATATATAAGAATGACTGTATTATCAAGTAATGTTTCTTAGTAATTCCAGTTGACCCCCCTATACTCCTGTTACGTTGTATCCAGATATCCTGCCTAGGATTTTTATTGAAGCATTCCACTGATATATAACCATGTTTCACATTTTTCCTAGTTGCTTTCTAGAATTACTGCTTTCCAGAATATAGTCCTGTCTCTATTAGTGACCTGTTCCCTTCATTACTCAGCACTCAACCAGCCTTTGTATCATCTGCACACTTCATTAGCAATCATTGTATACTTGATTCCAGATCAGTGATAACAATACTGGGGCAAGGATCAATCCCCGCAAGATTGCATAAGAAACACTCAATAACTTAGCGTGTTTCAAGTTTATTTATGTTTTAACATCTATCTATTGATCAGATTTGAGTTCATATACTGTATGTATCATATTGTATAGTGATACTTAACCTTGCATGATTTTGTTTGAAATAATGATCTCAAGAAAAGGTAAGCTGCACAAATGTAAATAGCGGCACTATTAATGAGCACTGATTTTGGACTGGTAAAGCTCACAAAACTAGATTCCTGAGATTTATGATAGCAGCTGCTTTCTGTAATCAAGGATACCCTTTCTCTTAAGGAATAACTTTTGGTTAGTGGTGTTTTATAAGCATCTGTCCTCTTTACACATATGTAAATAAAATAATGAATAAAAGAAATATGAGCACTTTAAACTGGTGTTACAAGTTGCACACTTGTAACTGTCTTTTATACTTCAGTTATTGTTCAGTGAAAGTTTTGATAATTGCAATAACTCTTTTCAGCTATGAAGACATTATAAGGGTGGTACTCAGAATAATGAAATGAACCAAAAATTGTTCTTGTGCAGAAAGCACATGTACTAGCTGACTTTTGTAGCTCTATCTGTTCGTGCTTAATAGATACTTTTCTGTTGGACAGAAAGCATATTACTGAATATTCATTTTGTAGCAATGCAAGGGAACAATATAAAATGCTACAGCTCCTAGAAACATATTTTCTTCTTCATCACCCTCCTTTTCTCTCCTTTTTTCAGTCTGGAAAACACTGCTTTAAAAAAAGACAATTCTCTCATTTAAGCTGTTGACGTGATTTTTCTATGCTGTTTTTTCACTTTAACAATTCTCTGCAGTAGTCTATAGTATACTGCCAGCTATGGAGTCTTGATCAGTTTTCTCTGTAGTTTGCTTTAACACTCACTTTTCTTTTAAAGATACCAGTCTTTCTTCTATTTTTAATTCTGTCTTCTGAAATTCTGAACGATATCTTTTTCCTCTATACTGTAATCATTAAGATCTTTACAACTGTGAGTATACCCTGCTTTTTCAGTGGTGGCTGAGTCTACTGAAGACGAAAATATATTGATAGGCAAAATAATAATAAATAAACTACAATTCATAAATTGTCAAAAAGGACGGAACTGTGATTTTTTTGTGTCTTGAATTCTGCATAATACTTGCTATAGGTAACCATCTGAAAGATTATTCCTTGGTTTATAAGCAATTCAGCAATTCTATTATGAATAGGGGTCAGGGTTCCCAGGACTTCAGCACTTCTCAGAAGTCTACTAGCATGTAGTTTTGGTGTAGAAGCATGTCTGGTTTCCAAGTTCTGGTTCCATAGCAGCCAAAAGTACCCCCTGAACATGTCCGATGGAGCAATGGTCAGATTTTTACAGGGGGAAACATTTGGGAAAAAAAAAAAAATGCTGTTTGTATCTTTTATAAGCATAGCTTTAGATATCTCAATCTTTTTGACACTGTTGCTTTATTTTGTTTTAATGCCATCTGCATTGGAACTTCAGAATTTCTTCTACAATTAAAATTCTACATTCTGAATATTCTACATTTAAAAAAAACCCAAAAAACCTTTCAAATTCATTAATAAGCTTTTCTTATAATGTAATTCTCCTAAATTGAATTTGTTATGCCAGCTCTCAGAACTCCGATTTTTTTTTTTTCTTTAAATTTTAGATATAAGTATCTAAATATTTTTGTTCTTGTACATATTCTACCTTTACTTTGGAAGCTTTTTAACTTTGGAATTCAATGTTCATATTTATAAATGTATGTGCATGGTGTTTGTTTATTTATGCTAAATTGCATACAATTTATGCTAAATTGTACATCTTCTCATACAGGTTCATTTGTCCTGTTCTGCTGAAATGGATGCTCCTTTCCTTCCCTTATTGTTTTTATGTGCTTTTCTGTATCTGCTTACATCAAAGCTCTGAAAAGCTCACAATTGTCAAGCTTAATTTTTTTGAGAAATGTGTGAAAGTTATGAAAGGTGTGTGATAATCTCAAATTTAGCAGTGTTTTGTTACTTCACTTTTGAAATGTGAAATTACTTTTTTTACTATACTCCCCTGAAAAAATCTCTTTGAATATTTTAGAAGAAGGAATAATTATAATGGATTTTCAAAACAATTTTGTTTAGTTCAAAATGTAATATCTGCACACTGTATTTTATTTATAAATGCTGCTTTTTCAAATGGGTAGAAATCTGATGCCATATAAATGCCATCTTGTTTTCAAAATAAAGATGTAAAATCAAGCAAAGCCCAAGGTTTTAGCATCTTTGGGTTTTTTTTTTAAGTATGTCATTTTTTATTTTGCATACTTTCTCCCCCTTTCTTTTGGACTCAAAGGATATTTAAAGCATGAGTTTTCAATGGCCAAATTTTAAATTAACATATAAAAGAAGAATATCTTTATAAAGATGGGTAACTCATCTCCTGTACACAGAATTGCAGATTTGTAATCCTTTTCATTTCCATTTTTATGGTATATTTTGAGGAAAGATAAGTGATGCAGGCATTTTCTCATAATTACTGTTGTATCATTCTAGAATGATTCAAGTAATACCTAAATTTTAGATATTAATAGTT